CGTTGGCAGGGGCAGTGCCATTTAAGCTTGCTTTTGGATACAAGATTGTGCTTCGGGCTACCGCGTTCCTCTGCAGAGGAGGCAGAGAGTTTTGCACTTCGCTGTTCTGTCCCTGCTTGAATATTCTTTTGCACTTGTCTGATCGCTTTCCCTGGCAAAATCAGCATCTCCCCCTTTGCCCCCTTCCAGGCACATGGGGTTTTGTCCAAGCAACAGTCTGACAAAATTCATTTAAATTCCTAGCTGTTTTTCTGTCACTTTCCCAATTTAAATTTGTACGTGACTAAGCCATTGCAGCCCTTTCTCTAAAAGGTCAGCCTAAATTATTTTGTGCACATAATATTAAAGCTTATGTGCTTGATGGATTTCTGTAGCACATAAACACCACTTCTTAGGGGACTGATGACCTGAATAATTACCTCATCTCAGTTGCCGTTGATCTAATCAGCTAAACCAATTATAATATAAGCTCAAGCCATTTATGAAAGTTTCTCAGATTGCTTTATGCAGACTGGAAGGTTTTGTGCACGATACACAAATTAGTATATGGCAGATAGTGTTGCTCAGTGCTAAATTTTGCTCTTTTTTAATATAATGTAAATTTAGAATCTCTGCTAACCCAAGTTTCATAGAGTTGCAGAGTTTTTAGTGGACATCAGAATTTCTCTGAAATAAATTTGGGAGATTTGTTTTTAAATACTTGACGTGATTTTTTTTTTTTGCTTTGTATGTGAATTATAGTGAATGAGAGTTACATATAGTTCTGTTATAATAGTGAGTTATGTATAACACAAAATATTAAATATGAATTATTATTTTAGTAAATCAACAAGAAAAAGTTTAAACACAACTTTGTATTCCTTTATGTTTTATTATTCTTCCATTTCTCGCATAACATTGTTTGTGTAATATGCTTTTAACTTAGATATAATTTTCATAGTTGTCCGTGCATATGATTATGGATTACAATGAATCACTATAATCTCATTTAATTCAATGACATGCAGTTTTAATCATTGCTGTTAAACCAACTTTGGAGAATTGTCATTAATACTTACAGATGCACGCAAAGCAAACTGGACGTTTGTTTATCACGATGTTTATGAAAACATTGGGTAATGTTTTCATTTAGTCTTTTGCCAGACCCATTTTTGACTGGGATAATAAGCAAAAAGCTACAATAAGCTGTTTTTATTCTCAGCATTTTGGTGGAAAATAAGTTGACTGAAGACATTTTTTTAAAAAGCTAAAATAATTGCATGCTATAAGTGATTTGCTCTGCTGTTCAGCTTGAGTTCATTATTGATCCTCCAGTATTTCTTGTGATCTCTATTATCTGTAATGATCTAGTGTACACATAGCCTTACATCTGTAATTTTGTCATAACATCTGATTTATAAAATTGTCTCCTGAGATATCCATGACCTCACTTAATCAGACACATTGTTATGTCATTAGCCAACACAGCTCAGCAAAGCAGAGTTTATTTTTACAGTGGCAGCGCTATCGCAGTCTTACATGAAATCAAAGGCACATGAAGAAATATCAGTTTAAAAGGAATCAAAAGATTCCTGAGACTATTTTATTCTCTTTCAAACATGCAAATTTCAAATTTATGCTTTTGTAGTAAATTTTAAAACAATACTTTTCGTCTAGTTGCAGAAGAGCACTATGAATCGCTTACAATTTGTAAACACTGCTTGAGGAAGTTGTTGCAACATCTGATTAACTTCAGGTAGTCCCATGCCTGAAATGTTCATTTATGTACTCAGGGATGAAATTAAGAAAATTAGTTATACTTTACTTAGAATATATGGAAAATAAGTAATTTATCCCAGACTGACAGTTTTGTCATACATTCTAAATAAAGCATTGTTAATTTTGCTCTGTCACTTCAAAACAAAGGGGGGATCTTTCTAAATTGTGCTTGTTACATAAAAATAAAATAAGTCATATACTGTAGAAAAACTGTGGGAAAGCTCTGTGAAATGCCAAATATTCCACAGAAGAAAGACAGAGCCCTCAACACCTGGCAGTATTATGGCTTCTACTTGGAAAAAAACCTGTTACTGAGCTGAATTTCAACTCCCCCTTACGTGGAAAAATCGACAGTAAATGTTAATGTAGTTGATGTGATGGGTGACTCATGCTTTCTTGTTTGTCACACAGAGTCTGTATGCGATATTTGAAAAATGAAATAGGATCTATTGCAAACCTTGTTTCATGTTTAAGGTCTCTTCTGCACAGAGGATCAAAGCAGATTTTTTTGCCTGTTCTGTTTCATTGGTCTGGGAGAATGATGGGCAGAAACCCTGGCCGTGATCGGGAGAGAGCAAGTCTTAGCTAACACAACCATCCTTGAAAAGCAGGGACCCTGTGCTTGCATGCTGTGGTGTATGTACAGTTATTCCTTCTAATAATTGATTATTATTATTATATATTCATTGGAATAGTTTGAGTTTTTATTGTGATTTAAAATAGGTGGTGGTTGAGGATGTATGAAAGGGAAGAGAGGGAAAAGGATGCTGTTGAAGGAGAAAGGTTGAAGTCTTTAAGCATATAAGAATTATCAATCTTCCTTCTCCTAAAGTTTTCACATGTAGTGAATATGTCTGAGAATTGATCTTAATGACAAAATAATAGTAAGACTCAATTTAAAAAATAGGTATTTTTTTTCCACATACACTGACCACTTCATAATTGCGCCATGACCCTTCATACGAGGAGCAGAATAATCGATGTCTTGGTAGAACACCGATGAGATAAAATGACATCTCTTTTCTGAGGATAAGCAGATTACTTGGGTTCAGAATTTTGTAGCTAAAATTCATTTATACTGCTTTATTTTTATCTTTAAAAAAAACCATTAAATGCACAGCCATATTTTCCTGCAGCCTGCTGTGATACAGGCTACTGCTTTACCGATTGCTTCAAAAGGCAGTTTGCTGAAAGCAGTTTTGTATCAGTTATATTTATTAATTGAGATTGTTGAAAGAGTTTGTAATATATTATGGCTGTGGATAATAATATTTATTAGTATATGAAGTTAAAGATTCCAGACTAGTAACTCATGTTGCGATTGATTGTGTATCCTGGCTGATCTGCTTGTACTAACTTTCAGCAAGCAGAATACCGACAGGGCCAGAAATGGAAGCAAAGAGAAAAAAAAAGGCAAAAAAAAAAGCACTCTGAAACCACAAATTATCATGATATCCTTGAACTAGGATTTGGGAAATAACCATTGAATACAAGGGTTTACTGCAATTTTCATTCTAAAACTGTAGCCTCCTGCACCTCATTTCAATATCTGACACATTTGGCAGAGTTATGCAAAGGAGAGCGGTCCTTCAGCAAGCCGTCTGTCTCACCCACCTCCTTATGAGACATATACGCGGTGGGGGCAACCAGAGAGCACTTGCATCGGCTTTACAGCCATGGATGGTGCTGGGAACCATATGGCGGTGAAGCGACTTGTTTTTATGTCCTCATGCAATTGTTCATTTGTCTTCTCAACCAGGGAGTGCTGGGCACGCTCCATTGAACACCAGGTTCTCACACTTTTATCTGTCCCACTTCGGATTTGTACAGCTGTCCTTCAAAAATTATTTTCCGTGCTACTGCATCATGGGATCCCTCAGAAAGCTCCTACTCTCTGTTGCCTTTCCTTACCCTTAAGCAAGCGTCTTTGATAGCATCTTTGGAAAATAAACTTCAGAAAATGTTGATACCTAAGTAATCCTTCTGGTTTGTAAACTCAGAACTGTGAATGAGGTTGATATTGATTGATTTTGAGATCTTTTGTGTCTCAGGTCTGCTGAAGTCAGAATGCCAGTGTGTTAGATGCATTAGATCCTATCTGATGGAGGTACCCACTAAAAGTCCCTAAATACTGTAATGCAAAAGTCTCCCGCAAAAAAGAGCTAATGTTTGCTGTTTATTATTGTTTGGTTTACTGTTTTACCGTTCATTTTTCTTTTAAAGAGAGCAAAAAATGTTTAAGCGTCTGGTAAATATTTTTTAGAATACAAAAATGTCCTGTGAAAATTTACTGTGAAAATATCCGTCAGATGCTGAGGGAAACAGTTTTTTCCCTTAGAACTGATAACTACTTTAAGTTACTCTTACAGCTCTTTGAAAATACCACTCTCTTAAAAAAATGCCATTTTTTTTCAGTGAACAATAGGATCCCCCTTCTTATTGTCAAGAATTTTAGATCCCCAAACTATTGTATACTTAGTTTTCTGCTATCATTAGTAACGGACATTTTCCTGAATGACTGGGTGATGTTTTAAATCTACAGAGTCTTTGGAGTTGTAAATACTTATATTCTGAATATCAGGTGAAAAATGAAAAGAACTAGAATATGCTCAAGTCCTTACCAAGTGGACACTGACACAATTTGTTTTGAAAGCTAAGAATGATTACATTTTAGTAAAACTTAATTAATCTGAACAAACCCACCAGGAGAGTAGGTATGTTTTAGTGCAAAAATATATATATGTATGACTTTAAGCAGAATCCTCTGTGCAATTTCAATAGAATGGTTTGAAGTATTGTAGGTTCTTCACAAGGAAATGGAGATGCTTTTTACAAAGCAGTGGTGGGTGTTGCTTCATAGTGAGGACAAGAGTGAATTGAGAAAAGATATCAGAGTAATAATTTTATCCAAAGATGTAATTGAGAAATACCTTACACAGCCTGTGAGCATCCCAAAGAGTTGGCATTGCCTCTGAATTTCAATGAAGCTGTTTGTTTGCCTTCTAAGCCAAAAGGACTATCCAAAATAACAATGAAACAGGAGACTGAAATATTAACTAACTAGTTATAACAACAATAAATCAGAAGCTGCAGTTGTTGTCATTTGGCGAATGTCTCTATCTCAGTAGTGTCCATGGGGAAAAGAAATACACAGAATGTTTAGGCAAGAGCCGCTTAGAAAAATGATGGAGGAGTCAGGGTGGGCCATTCAGTTTTCATAACCATGTTCTCCTTCTTGTTAGTCTTTTGTGGTTATGAACTTGCAGCATGTCCGCGTAAGTGCGTTTTAGGCAGCCAGGGTTACCAGAGAGGTTGAGATTTGTGTCTCTGCCCTTATCTTTTCAATAGTGAGATACTGATGCTGAGCTCAAGAGAACCGAGTCATGCATGGGCAGTGAAGAGGGAGCACAAGGAACACCGATTTATCTGCACCCGCCCTCCCCTACGCCCATCAGCCCCGTGCAGATGAACACTGGGCTGCCTCAGTAATCCTGAAGACCGGAGATAATGGTTTAATCCTAGTGGTCAAGTGAGCAGCCAGGATTAAGTACTGTAGTTCCATTTAATTAATGACAAGTGTATTTTGCTATGCTTTAGGGAAGCTGTCAGTTTGCCGCTGTGGAGTGAAACGCTATCTGAGTACCAAGCGGAGTCACAAGGTTTACCTCCTGGCTTGGCTTCCTCCTGGAAGTTTTACAGCTTTCAGCTGTCATAAAGCACATTAAACAGGAACTCTAAAAGCAATTTTATTTTATTGATTATGATTATAAAAAAAGGTCTAGTTCTAATGGGAAACCTGAAGTATTTAATGATAGCAACAGGCAGGATGAACACAACTCCTGCCTACCGCTTCCCCTTCAGAGAACAAGTAGTTGTTTTTCAGAGAATTAATATTCAGAGCAAGTCCAGTTCATCTTACCTGCCGGGTTCATTTTATTATATAATAAAATCTGATTTATTCTCATTTGGATATAGAGTATATAGCCATATAAGCATAAGCTATTTATAAACAGTTACTTTCCAAGTAGCGTAATATAATACCTACTCTCTTAGGTATTTCTGAGGAATACCAAATGTTACTTGCCAAAGGGCAGAGATAAAAAGCAGTGTTTTGGATCTGAACATTGTGCCTGGAGCTAATCACTAGTTATGCTGATACCTTTTCAGTTCTTCAGTCTGACAAAAAAAAGAAATAAAAAAGCAGACTAGTATGCTTCCTCAGTGAACTTTTCTGAGTTTGGTAAACCTAACTCTCTCTTTATATTTTACTTACAGAATGGTCTTATTGTTGCCTGTTACCAAGGTTATGTGGATATTGTAATAGCCTTAGCACAATGCCCTCACCTTGATGTGAATTGGCAGGACAACGAAGGGAACACAGCTCTAATTACAGCTGCACAAGCAGGTAAGCCTCTTCATTTCACCTCTTACATACAAGATCTTAGGAGGACTGTGTGTTGTAGCTCTTATTTTTAGGATTTTTTCAAAGCCCTAAAAGAAATTAGTCTCCATAAAATAATCCTGGCCAAGCCCACTCCCAAGCAAGTTTGTCATGATTTTCTTTGAACTAATTAATCTATAGTAATATTTGTCCAATGGATTAAGACAGAAAAAGCTATACATTTCTAGCAGATGCCATTAACTATTTTAACTTAAAAATAAATAACATCTTGCCCCAAGTGTGGAGTACTATACTGCTTTGTTCCTTTAGGCTTATTTTCCTATGTTTGCTCTGGCAAGCAACCAGTCAACATTATGGTCATGTAATGTGCTGTATTAGTGCTGATAGCATCTCTTTTCTCACGCTTGTTGCACCTACCTCAGTGGGTTTGTAGTAATTGGTGACTGTAGGAAAATGTATAATCTTTAAGAAATATCTTAGCGGCTAAGACATTCTTCAACCACTCCATAGTTAAAAGCAAAAAACCCCTATTTACGTAGTCTCAGCAGGATTCAGTGTTTGCCAATGCTGCTTTTATAACAGACTGATTATATTGACATCGACCATGTTAATCCTGATGCAGACTGGAGTGAGAGCAGAGTTTATCCCCAGATTTTCTTTTATCCCATCCAGCATGGTAATATTCAGTGAACAAGCATAATAGATCATAAATGCAAGCGATGCTCCCAAAGGAGTCACTAGTTTCAAGTGTACAGTTAAAAAGCAATCAGTCAATTATTTCTGTTAAAACTGAAACACTGTGCTTTAACCTTTAAGGGAAGCTCTAGTTTTCTATTACAAGTATTAACAAAGTGCTAAAGCACACAAATCAGGAAAAATTTGACCAAGGAAGTCATCACTTTGTAGTCTAAAAGCTGCTCCAAGGGGTTGCCTGGCTCTGTATCCACGGTTTCCTTTGCGTCCCTGAAGCGTGCTCCTCAAAGGCAATCACTTTACAAGGAAATGCATACCTGGTCTTTATCATGTCTTCTCACTGACGAAGGATATGGGATGTTCGTGGGAGTTCAGGGGACATAGTGTTCCCTCCCAGACCCTGGCTGGCTGGAGGAAACAAATTTCCATCAGGTAACATCAATGGACATTACAAGCCATGTTGAAAGATTGGAGCAGTTTGGTTTTGATGTTTATTTAGTAAAATTGCCACTAGACATTTCTGGGTAGTACCAAACTTTGCATCATGTTGTACCAAAACCTGAACTCTGCTAAAGAAGTCGCTGCAAGATAGGTCTTGAATACTGGAAGAAAGAATTGTGACCACAGTAGTCACGTTTATAGCAAAGTCATGAGTATAGTAGCTTTCCAAAGAAAGTGGAGAAGTCTCCAAAACTCTAACCTACTAGCTGCCCTAATATAAATTTGGACTATAAAAAGTTTAACACTGACTCCTTCCTGACCTTTATAACTCGTGATAATGAGCTCAGAATTAATCCAGAGGGCTGACATCGACTTGACACTCTCTGCCAGTACTTGCTATTGATCCCCAAAGCAACTGGAAATGACTGTAGTCAGCAGAAGCTTATACAAACTCCTAACAACTTGGATGTTTTCCCTTGCCTATGATAATCCTGAACTACAGTGTTGACACCAGTTATTTAATTCATTATCACGAGGTACTGCTGTAGTCTTTACAGAGATTACTGTGAGGCTAACATTGCAACCAGAGGAGCTACAGTGCAATAAATGCTGCTTAATTATTGCTGAATGTTAAGTAGTAACACTGAGCAGTGTATTATAAAGAACTGAAAGCAAACTTATGTGAGCTTTCCTTTAGTGGAGAATTTATTTGTTTGGTTTTTTTCAAACTTTAGGCCATGAAAATAATAATATTTTTGTAAAATAAATTCTTCTGAGAGATTGCTGCTATTTATACCAAACGTATTGGTTTTCCTGTGGAAAGTCTAGTAGCAAATCCACATTATTTCAATTAACTGTAAGGTGATATCAGAAGGCTTCAGAAAGTGCTGCCATTTTTGTTATGACCCACTGACCAGGTGGGCCATCATGTAGGGCCAGACCCTGAAGAGGAGCTGGATGGGAAAGAGGCTGCGGTCCTGAGGGATCGTTCCTTGTGTTTCAGAGGCTGCATCTGTAACACGAGGTACAGATACGAAGGGAGATGACACGGAGGCCTCTTTACTTTTGCTAGAGGAGTTTAAAATCCACACTTGCCTATGCCCTTTCATGACTGCCCAGACATGATGCTCAAACCTGAGCATCAGCTTGAATTAAATAGAATTATCTTAAAGACCAATTACAGCCTCAGAAGATAAGTGAATTCACTCATATTGCTTTTGATAATTTAAGATTTTCATCCTTCAAAGAAAGTATCTAAAGCTGAAGTTTTTTGTGTGGACTGCCCTGAGAAAGATAGACTGGAGGCATCAGTGAAAAGCAGTACTTTCTTAACAAGCTTATTAGTATAGAAAAATAACCACCAAGTGCTCTGCTTAGTGTGTACATTTTGGGTTTGAAAATTGGTCTATTCACTTGCTCTCTCAATATATCTTACAGACATGGGATCCCTTCTCAAAGAGAGCTTGCCTTCCAAAACTGTAAATCTGTTGCAGCCTGCAGCAGGTGGTGCCCAGAAATGAGTGGTGATGCTGCTAAAGCAGAAGCAAAATCATTAAACATCAGTACAAGGACAATGCAGAAAAAATGGAAGATTGATGCAAACAGGAGATTGAAATAACAAGTGGAAAGAAAGGAAGGAAGGAAAGCGGTTTCAAAAACAGGGAAAAGGGAGGAAAATGACATTGAAATTTTTTTCTCAGTGTCGCTGCTGCTGAGGACATAGCTACATCGGTGGCAGCGTAGGGTAACTGGCATACACTGGTGTTTGGAAAGAGCCGTATTTGCTCACAAAGTCTAGATGTTTTATGTTACAGGGACCAGTCTGGGGCAAGGCTGTAGAGCTGGGAACACAAAATCAGAAGCTATCCCAGTTTCTGTTTATTAAGGGACACATAAGAACACAAACACCTAACGCACCCAGAGCATACAAGGTTCTGGATGTGCTCTGTTCCATTCATCCATCAGAAAGCATTCACCACCCATAGACCAAACACAGGCTTTTTGCAGGTACAATTCAAAATAATGATGTTATATGATAGAACATATTCCTTACTATGCAGTTTGTCCTTCTGCTTGTATTACATAGATTATTGGGTAATATTGTCATCATTATAGGCATTTCTTCTGTGGCAGCAATTAAGTGAATTAAGCTATTACAGACATCTGTGCTGATCTCTAAATGTGGCTCACAGGGTGAAGAAGTGTACGCTTAGCGTGCCAGTTCTGGTAGAAGATAGATCTGACTTACAGACAGCAAGAGCCCAATACAAATTCAGTATCACCAAAGTGGCTGAGGCCAGGCTAATTTATTTGAGAGCTGCATACAGCTTTCATAGCAGACTTTAAATCATGGAAGACTCACCTGGTTTACTATTTAGATACACACTTCTAGTTTACCCGGACGCAGGAGAACTGAAGCAAACTTTATGGCCTTAAACAAAAAGCATGTGACAGAGTTCAAACAAAAACTTGGCAGCTCTGAGTTTTGCTTTGAATTTGATAGCTGTTTGAACTAGAAATTTGAAGCAAACCTCAGAGGACAGAAGCTCCTGCAGATTAAAACTGAAGTGGTTTTCAGGAATCCCTGAGACAGAAAACTTCTGAGAATCACAAACCTCTTCATTTTCTTTGTTGTTTTATTGCTGGTATGCTTTCTGTCTCATTTGAGGCCATCTGTAGTCCCCTGGGGAGTTTTGGCTGAGCAAGGTCTTTCAGGATTGACTCTTAGGATCATCCCAGATTTGCAAAATGTCTCTTACTGCAGCTATGCTTTGGGCAAAAGGAAGAACATCTTTAGTAATGTAATAACCACTGAAAAATCTTCCCTCTTATTATTTCTCCTTGTTTCAGTTCCTGTCTCTGGTTTCTGTGGTCAAAAAGCAGTATTTCAGCTGTTCCAAAACTTTCATGAAGACATTTCAGCTGTTCCAAAACCTTCAGTGAAATAGAGCATGTCCTGCAAAACAATTCGGGCACAAAGATTCTCCCCGTAGTAACCGATACCCTGCTAGGATTTGATCTTATGCTATAAAGTCAGTGAAGCTGAAGCCTCTGTATTGAGTAAGCAGGACCGGGTCACTTGATCCTGCCCTGAACCCAGTTTGCTTTTGCTTTGTTCAGCTCATTGCGGTTTTCTGTATCTTTATATTTCATTTGCATCAGACTGCACAAGGTACAGGGAGCTCCTTATTTGGTTTTCTCTGACTCTGGCGTTGCTTAAACTGATCTGTGCTATCTCTACATCTGCTCAGGTTTCAGGAGAGTTTCCAGTTATGCAGCAAGGTAGCAGAGTCCAGCAAATTCTAGGAGATAGAGAGTAACACCTAGAAAACATCTTAAATTAATTGGTAAAGATTTTCTTAACTTGCTTTCCAAAGTGAATGCAGGACTGTTTTGGTACAAAGCGACTGCTGATGAAGTCTGCACCAGATGTGACACTGTAGACTTTTAAAATTGTCCTGTATGAATTATAATCTGCTTCAGTAACATTTCTAGATGAATTTGAATGACATGCGTCACAGAATATTCAGCTGGACTGCAGAGTGAGATGAGAGAATATTTTTACAGCTCCTAGTAATTAAATTGTGATTGTTGCAGCTGCCTGACAGACTGCATTATTTTATAAAGCATCAAAGCATCATAAAATGAATGACAAGTGAAGGGAAAACTGTTTTGAATGAGTCATAATGGCACTACATATTCTTCTTGTTCTGATAGTCCAATTATAAAGACTCGATGTTTTAATTGGTCTTCCAACCATTTAGCCAGAGATGTCTTCAACTATTCAGTACGCCCTTGCTGACACCAGTTATCTCGGTGTGCAAGGCACATGAATGGCATCAACAGTTGCTTTTAGAAACAGAATTTAAGTCATTTATTTTACTACCAAAACTGAACATCAGCCCCATTTTTCTGTTGCTGGTGGGTAGACAAGTAGCTTTACACTGTCAGATGGAAAAAAAACCCACAATGTGGGATTCTACACAGAATATCCCTTTGTCTTGTATCGGGCCTGGCATGGTTCATTACTATTATTGGCTGGAACTACCACGTGTAATCACTTTTTAATGAAGCACCGTGATTGTAAGGCTGAAATTTACCAGGGGAAGGAAAAAGCTGAACCTTTGCAGCAATCAGTTCTGCGCAGTGAGGGACCTGCCTTCCATAAACTGTAGGAATTCCCTTTGTAGTGCTACTCACTGAGGCCCCTTCGAATCTGAGAGTGATCATCTCTGGTCTTCAATTATTCTCTTACCCTAAACTGACTTTTCAGAGAGGAGAGCAACTTGAGAGAAGGTGGGAACCCAGGTTTCCAGGCTCCTATCCCAACACTCTAGTCACTTAACCCTGAGGCTGGTGACTGTAGAAGAGGATACAAAGAAAAGAGATCTTATATTCATTATCTGCATTTTTCCAGTTATCAAACCTGCAGGAGTAATTTTTGGTTTAATCTTGAGACAGCACCTTCATTCTGTGACATATTTTCTCTGCTTTTTCATTTCTTTAAAGGGCACATAACCATTACAAACTATTTGCTGAACTATTTTCCCGGGCTTGATATTGAGAAGAGGAATGTGTTCGGATTCACAGCACTGATGAAATCTGCGATGCAGGGCCGAACTGAATGCGTGAAAGCCTTGATGTTGGCAGGTATGCAAAGTGCTTTGCTGCTTCTTCGTCATCAGCTGGCTGTAAGTACTAGACAGTCACACACAATCACCAAGAAGAAAATTGGCTCTTGGGGTCTTTACTCTGAGAGGTGTGGTGCAGCCTTCCTTGGAAATGGGTGCAGCTTTTAAATAAGTCATAGACAAGGTGGTGATGCCACGTGCTGCAGGTGCAGGAGCGCTCAGTTTGCCTGTGGAAACTCATCCAGGAGCTCTCCAAGAGCTCTCAGGGTGAGATGCATTGTCTCCAGGAGAGTTTGGGGACTGTGGTCATCAAGATTTATAGATGAGGAGTTAATGAAGTTCATGACACAGCTGGGAAAGACATGCAGGTCTCTTGCTGCCAGCTCTGTGAGTGTGCCAGTGCAAGGGTGCAAGGGTGGTGGGACCGTAGTCAGACTTCCACGTCTCCCTCCACCCACAGCAGGTCCTAGGGCAGGGAGTAGAGAGCTTTGGGGGCTCTGGCTTCTGTCAGGAGAGTTTGGCGTAGGGTTCATATGTCACAGGGAACATTGGTGGGAAATTTGGCGACATAGGGAATAACCTCTCCTTCTAACCTCTCTACAGTTCTGAGTTTGTTTCCCAGGTTTATGGGCGACAGGACACCAGCAGGTCTGTGTCTGCTGCACGGAGGGAGTTGTGGCACAGGGGGTGAGCAGATCCTTCTCTGCCCACCTGCGTCTCCTTACATCTGAGAACAGAAAATATGTTTCTTGCTTGGCTCTTGACTGCGGTTGAATTTCCAGCTGCATGCATTGCAAGGTGAAGGGGTGCTGGAGAGGAAACTCGGAAGGGCGAGAGGCACTGGGGCAACAGTCTCTACAGGAGCAGTCCCAGCATACAGCAACTTTTAGCCACATTGTTGTATGTTTTTATTATATTAAGTAGTTGATACATAAATTATTAGCTAATAATTAAATAACTAGCATATATTAGTATACATTCTTGTATTACAGTTGCAGATATTTGACACAAATAAAATATTATGGAAATGATAACAGATTGCATGTGAATATTGTTACTGTCTAGACTAAGAATCCTACAGGTCCATTTCATGGAGAGAGATCTTGAATAAGTAGTTCATTTCAGTCACTTTGCTGTCACAGAAGTTTAACCCCTCATAATCTGAATATTTTAAGTCGCAGGCATTTATCAAGCATAGTTGTATTACTATCATTCATTTTCATAAAATCCAGTTTCTAGATGTTGATATGACACAGAAAATGCTTGGATGATGTGGTAAACAACAAGTTATTTTCTGCAAGGTTCTGTAGTCTCTCATACTGGAATCAAGGCTTTGGAATTGGATCATTCATTTTGGAGCTAAATTTTTATGACACAAAATTATAAAATGATTGTCAGATCTAGAGTACTGCTAGACATGGATGCAGTTTCTGGACTAACACACACTTCATGCAGATGCTAGTTCAGAATTTTCCAGTGCCCACTATAAATTATCACATAAAATGAAACTTCAATCCCAAGACCTTATGACTTGTCAAATTGACCTTACAGTGTAATTTCTATTATTATCACTGGAGATCTGATGGAAACTTGTTCTTTCTGTTTTGCTGACAAGAAGCTATTTCACAATCTTTCCATCTTTAACTGATAACTCAGTCTTTGTTATTCTACTTCTTGTACAAAAAGTATTGATATCAAAGTTCACTATGTGGTTGTTGCCTCTGGCATCTGAATAGGCACCTTCTTGTCTTCATGATTCATAAGAAAACAGAATATTAGGGAGAACAAACCCTTAGCCAGACAGAAAATGGCTTTGTTAGCATCCATATCAAGTTTACCTACAGAAAGTTGTATCGTCCTGTTTGTGCATCAGAGAGAGTGAGGATACCAAAGATCATCCATTGGCTAAAGAGTTGTAGAGTTAATATACTCTGAGTTTCTAAATTGCAGTTTATATACGTGTTTTTGTGAGTATTTTGCAGGTCCTCACATTTTCAGCTCAAAATAGGGACCACAAAGGAAGTGTGGCAAATTGCCTGCACCCATTTTAATATCTCAGTATTTTTTAGCGCTGTACAGCCTGGCGAAACATAGGGAGGGAGGGAGCTTTTCGTTTAGAATGGATTTAGAAGTAGTTCAGGGCTTAAGGGATACAGATTGGATGCTGACAATAAAGTGCTGGTTTGCTGAAGTAGATGAAAGAAATTGTTATTAAAAGATTTGGTGAAAAAATCAATTTCACAAACAAACCAGTGAAATTCCATGTTAAAACATAAGAATGCATGGAAATTTAGGGCGAAAACACCCATAATCAGCTGTGGGTCTACTTTCCTAGCTACAAAGCAGGTATGTGTCTTTAGGAAAGAGCTACAGGCAGGAAGTTTTTAAACCCAGTATCTGTTTAGTGGCTTGGCTAAGACCTCTGTTCACAGGCACCTAGTTACGGCAATGCAGGAGGTCAGTAAAGGAAAATAACTCACCTTCCTAGCCGCCTAAGCATGGATTTAACAGTCAGATCGGGAAGAAGTAACGGCAATGTGTGACAGATGGTTGGAGCTGGATTGTCAAAGTGACCGCTCTTTCTGAAATTTGAGTTCCTGGAGGGTGGCCAAGGTCAATCACTACAAGATTAAGGTGTTCTGAGACACTTGGCCATAGCGTTACTCTTTCAAAGTGAGGTTTTGGAACATGTGAATTTGCTATTTGTGAGCACACAGCAAGTAAGGAGGGAACCCAGTCGTGCATCGGCAATTTGTCACAGGCTGCTGCGCTGCCAGGACCGCGCTGGTGCCAGCGTTCAGCAAGCGAGCCAGCCCAAGTGGGAGCACAGAAATGCCGGTTGTAATTCACATGTCAAGCGCTGCTGTAATCTCCAGTGTAAACTCAGTGCTGCTTTAGCAAAGTTGTCGGAGTGGCTGTGGATCTGGAAACGGAGCTTTAAATACTGTGTATAAAACAGGTCGGTAACAGATGCCCGAGCTCTTTCACTCCCTGTCTTTAAACTCAGGATGTCAGTTTTGCATCTCAAGGGACATTAAACCTTCTTAATCAAATAGGATATTGATATCCCAAAGGGGCATGTGTATTCAAACTAGTTGTGCTGAAAATGATCTTCAGGACAACTTTCTTGGGAAAATCAAGGCAAGTGGTAAATGCAGTTTTCCTAAAAGAAAACTTGTAGGCTATACTTACACTGAAATAACAATTAGTTCAAGACTGTTACCACATTTAAAAAGGGACATGACTAGTCATGTCTCTTCCAGATGAGGCATTCTACTGAATGACACGTTTGTTCAGAAATGTCTCCTGATTCGTACAGAAAATCAATACCACTACAGTAAATCACAACTTAGGAGAGATTTTTTGATACGAGGTACAAAATCAGCATTGATTCCTGTTGAAAGATTGGGATTTCAATACTCTCTAGTATTGTTTTCTGAGATAAAGGTCCCGAAACATGGGGGAACACATCTCTCAGGGAGCGGCAGGAGTGGGCTTCTCCTCAAAGGGTGGTGAGCCAAAGGTGACACGAAGGCACACAGAGGCACGTGACTCATCAGCAAAGGTGCTCCTTGAAGAAACGGACCAGGGCTGGTGACAATAGCTAGGATCAGTCAGTACTGCCATGATTGCCAGGCAAGTCCCTGGTGACAAGGTAGGTCTGAGGTCAAAACAAGAAATCGAGTCTGTGGGTCAGGGTCCAAATGAGCAAGGGACGTGGGCAGGCACAGGCATGGCTGCACCACAGCTCAGGCGAGGACCAGAGCTGAGCATCTGAGCTTCAGTGCAGCCCCCGAGCAAAGGTGGGGAGCCCCCAGTAAGCACTTTCTCACACAGCTCTTTTTGCACAACTCTGACCCAAGGTCTCACAGCTGCACCATGTCAGAGCTGGCAGGTCTTTTTCTTGAAGAGAATGGTAAGCAGCTGTCTATGCCTCTTGCTTGTTTACAAGCAGATCATACAGTTCATTAAAATTTATATTTGGAGACAATTCCTTGCGGTACTGTTCCTCCTGTGGTAAATCCTTGCCAGTTACATGTACAACAAGGAAACAGCTTCCACGTAATCTTGCCATGTTCCCAGTCAGCTCCAGTGGGAAGGAGTGCAGCCCCAGCAAATATTAAGAAGGGGACAGGACAAGAGACTAGCCTGAGACGGAGAGATTCGGGCATGGGAAGTTTGGGTAGGATGGTTCAAAAGCAGGCTAGTGGAGCAGGAGGACATGTCTTTGTAGCCCTTTTTGCTCCTGCCCTCACTGGTTTGTCTGTAGCTTCTACAGTCATAAACTCTGTCAAACCCTGCTGACTTTGAGATCTCACAATCCTTTCTTCAGTCCACAGCTAATGAACTCTTTCCATTGATTAACTCTTCCTCCTCTCTGCCTCCTCTCTGCCTTCCAGTCTGGGCCCCATGCTTGACCCCCTGCAGTGCCCCTGTGCTTTCTCCCTGAGTGGTCCTTTCTGCAAATTTCACTTAAATTACACTTAAATTGAGACAAGCTCTTTTGCTTAGGGTGTCACCATCCACATTCGCTCTTGGTCTGTGTCTCCAGCATCCTCTTCTTAGCATCCTCTCTTTTGGGATTTTCTCAGAGACTTAGGAATCAACTGGTACTTAATAGAGTTAAAACGGAGCTTTTGATCACTTTCCCCATGCTCTCCTTTTTCCTCTGTTTTTCTGTAATGACAAAATATCCTTTGTAGGGAAGGTTAAACTGGAACCATTGCAAACTGGTTCCTGGTTACTATTCCTTATATCTAGTCTCCTTTATGCTAGTTTCAAATGCTGTCACCAAGATAATCCACCCTGAAAAAAAAAATTATCATAATATTTCTCTGGCCTTTTCCTCAAGTCTCGGTCTCTGGACATCTACCTCTTCCAAAGCAATGGGACAGAATGTCTTTTTTTTGTGACAAGATCTGTGTAGGTCAGTTTTGTGTTGGTTGTTTGAAAATGGTGCTTCAGCTGATAGAGAAGCTCTTCAAGAAGTCAAATGTTGTAGCTTGTTCATATCCCAGCTTGAAACTCTTTCAAGAAACCCAGAAACTATCTACAAGCCCAGTGGTACGTGTAAACCATGACTGAATGTTAAAGAGCTCAGTTATATCGAAAGCAGCTGGGCAGAGTGTCCGTGCCTGTCCCAGGGAATGTGCCGCAGAGCTGCTGAACAAACTCGATGTTCTGGAGCATGCAAAACTCCCTCTGAGATCAGTCGAAATTTAAAGGCAGAATATAAAACAAAGGATTTGCCGCTTAAGAGCGTGACTGCCTGAAACCAGGGAGTATTCCCTCATTTTTCTATCAATTTCATTCATTCACCCAGATACCCATATACTCTAAAATATCAAGATATGTGTGCCCAGGTGATATGTCCAGGATCACTTGGGTGTGATGCAGAGAATATGATGCTGGCTGTCAAGTCCTCAGCACGTCCCTGAGATTCTTTTTGATTGGTGACACCAAGCTAGTTTTTGGACAGATCTTTTGTACCCTTTAGCATTCACCAGCTGTAATGTGTTGGGCATTTGCAACAGTGTCTTGCTGACTTCAGCTTCCAAAACCTCTTGTTGCTGCTCATTGTTCTGCAGCATTTCTTCCACAGGTGCACTCCGTATTGAGCTTCCTCTGACCTTTACAGAGCTCTTCTGTGTGAGCAGAACTAGGGACGTGCCATCGTCACTGGCAAATGCCCACGCTCCCACCCTAATACCAGAACCGAGAGGACTTCTCTGCTATTTTCTGGTTGCCAGGGAATGTGGCAGCATTGGACACAGTACTACAGAAGCTGTAAAGGATACAGCAGAACAGACTAGGATGCTTGCTCCTCCTGTTACTGTTGTAGCCTCTCTTCAGGCAGCTAGATGCCCTGGACGAGAAGAGTGTAACCCCACTTGAAAGCAAAAGAGTGAAGAACAAGGGCAGAGGCCCATGTGAGGGGGGTTGTAGGAACATGGAGAGATCAAAAAGAAGGCAAAGCTGGAAAAGGATGCAGAAATACATGAGAAGAAAGAAAGGGGCGGGGGGGGGGATAGATGTCAGAACTGGATGCATAAAGATGATAAATTGGGAATGGGGGGAGGACAGGCTGAAAGACAATAACCACTAGAAATCATTTCCTTCCAGGACCTAGCACTATACTTCAAATGTCTAAGCCTCTCCTGTCTTGCATGTGTCCCAGTTGCCTCTTATGACTGGTCCTCTTGGCCATAACAGCATGTTTTTGCTAACAACTGCTTCATTTCTTCAGGGCTGGTAGTCTAAGGTAGATGAGAACAGCTGTTCTGGGCTCACACCAAAGGTCCATCTCGCCCATTATCCCCTCTCTGACATGTATGGAAACTTTTCTTATATTTGATCACCCTTGTCACCATCCTGTCAGCTTTCCTTAATTCTACAGTGTCCTTTCAGAGATAAGAGAACTTGAATTGTACATCTAGTGTTTTGTCTATTTTTTTCCTTTTTATTTCTATTTTTTCTCTGGTTTTTTCTCTATTTTTTAATGCTTTTCTAGAAATTCCTTGTGTTTCATTTGCTATTTTCACCCCTGGTGAGCACTGAGTTGACATTTTCATGGAACTTGCAATCATCAGCCCAAGATCTCTCTTCTGAGTGGCAGGGATCAGTGCAAAGCCCATTGTTCTGTATGGGAAGGATTTTTGTGTACAGATTTGTTTCTCTCCATGTTTGTCACTCTCTTCTTGTGAGCTTGAGTGAATGGGTTTTAAAATGGTATGCAACATTCAATGCAGTTGAAATTCATCATGTCACTCTTTGCATTGTTTTAAGAGAATTTCATATATACAGCCTTAATGTCTTTAATTTTTTTTTTTAATAAATCAAGAGTTCAGAAAGTCAGGGACCTGATCTCTCCTTATTGAATGTTAATTTTGACAAAAATATTATTGTGTGTTGTATGTGACATTTTCTTTCAGGGATCTGCCTGATTCAACTCTGATCATAGCAACAAAATTGCGGGCAGTTTCATTAATTAATACTAATTGTTTTTCTTTTCTTTGAGGGGCAAATGTTCATGTGACTGATCCAAGCCGTGGACTGACTTCATGGGAATGGGCTTGTTACACAGGAAGATCAGAATCTGCCTTCATCATGCAAAAGCTGATGGACAGGCCATGCCCGGAACAGTTTTGTGATCAATTTAAACCAGAATGGCCAAAGATGAAGGAACTTCTTGCCAAGGCGGCAGAGCCAAAAAGCTGTTTGCAGAGGATTTCTGAGTGCATGAGAGCAGCTGTCTCATTCCGGTCTTTCTACGGCCCAGAAGAAGACGGGGTCCTCGACCACATGGTGAAGGTGACAACAAGCTTGGGCAGTCCTTTCATTGCTCTGTCATGCCGGACTGTGTGCCCAGGCAGCCCACCTTCTGTGGGGAAACGCAGACTGGCTGTGCAAGAAATCATTAGGAAGCAGAGAGCCGAGGAGATCCGATCTCAGGACAAAGAGCACTTTAGCAGCTACGAGAAGCTGTTTCAGAACTCCAAAGTCACGCTGATCCCCAAGAAGAAGGACCGGCGAGCCAGCCTGCAGCCCATCAGCCTTGCAGTCTCTCAAGTGAACACCATAGCCACGAGGAAAGCAAGCCTCTTGCCTCTCCACCTGCTTAGACGGAGCAGTGTCAGGCCGGGATTTGTCATCCCCAAAGTCCGTATCAGCAAGGCTCCTCCACCCACCTTCCAGCCAGAGAAGGCGAGAAGGAGGAGCAGTGCAAAGGATGACCCCTATTTGCAGATTCCCAAATGGAGATACAAGGAGCTAAAAGAGGAGAGGAAGAAGGCAGAGGAACAGGAGAAGAAAAAAGCAGCAGAGACTCAAAAGCAGAGGCAGGTGTCTCCTGCCAGATGCAGGACCTGATTTAAAGGCAGTTGCTTAGAAGGTTTTAGAGCCATTAGTCTTGTTATCTGGGCAAGATAACAGGCTGAATGCCTTCGTGCATGCCCACTGCTCACAAAGCTGGAATACTGGATAATGGCCCTTAAGGGGCAGAAACAGGGCAAGGGCTATGGCACAGTGTGTCGGATGGTGGAGCAGGAAGGTACTGTGAGGTGGAAGACTTACTACCTTTACCTGTCTGCTGTTGATAGGAAGTTTTAAGTGGTGCAGTTCCTTTGTGATTTCCTTTTTCCCAGTTCCAGGTGAAGGACTGAGAAACAGCTTGAAAAACAACATGTATGTGAAAGGATCGTATTTTGTGTTTGTTCATTTTGTAATGGACAAAATTAAGGAGTTGTGCTTTTGACACTAGACATTCCTCCCCCTCCTTGCTTAGATGGACATATTGCAAGGTTTTATAGTAATAATGAAAAGTTTAAAATATACCACAGTGTTGGTGGGCAGTGAAAATCCAGGTCTGCAATTGTTTTGAATATACTAAGCACTTTATTTTAATTCCAGTAATCAAAGTTTAAGACAGAATAGGTATTAAACTGTACAGTTCTATGCAGTCTGTATGGATGCAGTTCTTAATGCTATTGTTTGTTCTGTTGAATATAAAAAGGGCCACATATGAAATATTTCTGTAGTTGAGGTATTCACATTCTCTGCAGGTATAAATCAGGGGCAGGGCCTGATTTCTTTGGAGCAACAGAGAAGCTGAGCTAATTTTTGAATGCCCGCGTCACCTAAGATTTGCCTCCCCCATTAAGTTTCCCTGTACCCACTATCTGTTGTCTCCTCTTTAGTCTCAGGGAATTTTTTGACATTGTGTTTATTGCAAAATAAGGGAGATGGTGAGCCACAGGTGGGCTTTTTTTTAGATTGATATTTAAAAAACCCACCAGGTTTATTGTGAGTCTTTCCAGATTATAGCCAGTACAGGAAAATTATGCAGTTTCCAGAGGTTCAAGAAATTTTCCCAGGTATCAAGTCCAGCCATATGCTATGAACATCCAGTCAGAGATGCAGTATCAGGCAGCTTGGCCACTAATGCTTGGAAACCGTGGCCAGATGTCATTGTGAGTTTTGGTAGTACGCCTCTGGGCACCCAGAGAGGACAGTACCTCACCCCTCCGTCTCAACACTGGGAGAAGAGCTTCCCTAGTATATGAGTGCATCTCAAAGTGGCAGTTTCCACAGGTTGCTGCAGGTTCTTGTGGTCCACGTTAAGGCTTTGTTTGGTTTTACCAGTAGTCAGTCTGAATGGCATGCCAAACCCTGGCAAATTCTGATAAGGGAGGGCTGTAAACCTGCTGCTTGCTCAAGAAAGACCACATTCATAAAAGCAGAGGTCAAACGCAAACAGCAAGTCCCACAGCACATGGCCAGGCTGTGTTTTGACTCAGGCTTTGCTCCTGTTTGAAATGAGACGAGCTGTGGTGTGTCCTTCTGACGGCGGGGTTCTGCTGGAGCCCAGGCAGACCCCAGCTGCTGCTGTCACCAGCTTCTCCTTTCAATTAAAGAGAGGGAAAAATTTTCCATCCTTTATTCCCATGGCACAAAGGCTGGCTGCTGTCTCACTGAACTTGTAATGAAAACTCTGTGTGTGTCATGGGAGAAATAAATTCAGTTGATTGAAAACTAGTGCCCAGATACTGGTTATGCTAGCTAGCGTCTGCGGGGCCAGGGCTTGACAGAGGTTATGGCAGATGTGTGAACCAAGGGCTTTTCCACACAGCCTGTTCTTTGTACCTCTTGCTGGAGTAGCTGTGCTGGCTAGATTGCGATGCCAGGTAGCCTTTCAGGTCAGAGTTGGAGGAATAAGCACCCTGATAATAAACCTCTCCAGTCCAGTGACTATAAAGAGGATTTTAGTCTGCAAGCACATCAGTCCCGTGCAATTCATATGCACCAATATTGTAAGGGATTTGGTGTGACCAGAATATAAGATGAACTAATTTCTTTGGAGAGTAGGAAGACAATGGTTTAGCTATCTGTGGCAAAGATATCAGGATGGATTTTGAATTGGTACACTGGATTGAATGGTTTAACTATTAATTTTTGTTTACTGCCAATGCAGTGTACTGAAGATTTAGCATTCAGATTCAGTATCTGAAAAGCAACCTGTGCTGCAGGTGAACACTTGAATTTGCACTCTCAGTATCACTTGCAGGAGACAGATAACTGACAGGTGCTCTCAGGGATTAACGTACAGTATGTTAGAATTAGGGGCTGAAAATGAAGCCTGTTTTCTAACCCTTTGTACTTTACTGTGTATATGTGTATAAATATGTGATATTTCCATTAAAAGAGGCACAAGCTGTTAAACTTATTTGGTGACCTTATTCTTCAGAGTGGTTTGGGGATGCTACCTTTCACTTTTCAGTAGATCAGAAAGCCCACCCACTTTCACCAGTGGTCTAATCAGTACCATCTGAAAGCAGTTTGGTTTCCCCTGGAAGGAGGTATTGTGGGTTAAATTCCACTCCTTGTGAGTTTTTCCCTAGGAGGGAAAGATTACTACATTTGTCCCAATACGGGGCTTTGGCTGGCCATCTCAGCGGAGAGAGAAGCTGTTGCTTTGATGACCTGTGGCCACATCACTCTGCTGCAAGCAGGCAGTCCCCCGGCATCTTTACGGACAGTGTCACTCCATTTTGTGCGTCTGTGAAAAGCTTTGCACTTGCTAGGTTGGGAAGTGCAGGCACAGGTGTTTCTCTCCTCACTGCCTTCCTCCCCTGCTGCCTCACTGCCCGCCCAGCCATCTTACTCCTCCTCTTCATCGCTGTCCTCACCCAAAGTGCTGCACCTCTCACTTGCTTTTTTTATTGTCTGTCTGAAGGGTCTGAAGGTTGCAGTGGGCAAAGCTCCTGCAAAACACACTTCTAGAAACCTGTGCAAATGGACCACAGAAGGGGAGGAGGCACGCCTGGATCTCCTCCAGTTGTCTGTCCCCCTTGAGCTGCTGCTGCCGCCGAGGAGGATTTGATTTCTGTTGGATTTCAGCAGAGTGGTCTGTTTTGCATTTCATTGCAGTTTGTTTGTTTGTTTTTCTCTGTCTGAAGGGTCTGAAGGTTGCAGTGGGCAAAGCTCCTGCAAAACACACTTCTAGAAACCTGTGCAAATGGACCACAGAAGGGGAGGAGGCACGCCTGGATCTCCTCCAGTTGTCTGTCCCCCTTGAGCTGCTGCTGCCGCCGAGGAGGATTTGATTTCTGTTGGATTTCAGCACAGAGTGGTCTGTTTTGCGTTTCATTGCAGTTTGTTTGTTTGTTTTTCTTCCAAAAGATCCATAACTATGAAATACCAAGCGCTAGCAGCTGTACTTCAAATCGCTCCTGGTCGCTCAAGCAGGATGGTTTACCTCCTAAAAAAAGCATGTGAACTCCTGGCAGCTGGAGCCCCTGGGGGAAGGCAGAGGTGCTGCTGCCAGAGGATGCTCCCACAGAGGGGAAGGGGACACTGAGGAAGGTTTTCTACCTGCTTCCGACGCCAGGCTGCAGTTAGTGGGAATGATGCTCCTGAGCGTTGTGAGTGAAACTGGAGCACAGGTTGTGTCTGCCTTCACGGCCATTGCTTGTCTCGGTACACTGCGAGCCTTGGCGTGACGGCCAGCCTCTCACCATCTGATGCTCACTGGCTGGGAAGCACCCAGCCCGATGGGCTGACTTAATTCTGCAGTAAGCAACAGGGATTTAAGATAGTGATGGTGGAAAGTGAAATCCCAAGTGCCTCCTGATATTCTCTAAAATGATATTATGCTCTCGTCTCTGGAGAGCAATGGTGTTGCAAGGAAGTGACTACGAATGCCGTGGAAGGTTTTTCAGGTGGGAACACCGAATTACATGTAAATGGCTCCTCGTGTCACTATGTATTATTCATTTGGGGTTTTTCACACCAATGACAACTGTTCCTTCAGTCTTGACAAAAATCCTTACTTCATTGAATGCCTTTTTCTTAATAGTCCTGAATGCTTGTGCTGTACTGCTAAGGGACAGATACTACAGCAGCTGGGAAAAAAACATCTTGAATAGAAAAATGGCATACAGATATGCAACATTCTTTGAGGGTATTTCTTTTTTAAACATCTACATTTTGGCAGGAAACTTCCAAAAGCTGTGACTGAAATTAGGACTCAATGTGCAGGATATGCCAATTTGCAGATGGTCTGAACTGAAGCCTTCTCTTTTTTTCTGTAATTCATGTGATGCAGCCTGGTTTTGCTAGGTCTGCTCATGGTGCCTCACGACTTAACGCTCCACGGTTCGGTTAGATACCTGGGGGCTGCAGGTAGGCAACAAGCTGGAAAGGGCAGTCCTGTCACTCTCTCCTGCCCATGCGTTCCTGCTTGCCCCCAGCAAACCTGGCATTTTGCTGGATTAGTATTATGCCAATTTAATAAGGTAGACAAAATTGCTGGAGCCAGTGCAGGGGAGCAGGGAAGGGAAGGTGCGAGGCGGTGCTGCTCAGAGCCAGCGAACTGCCAGGTGGCTCAGCCCGTGATGAAGGCTGTGCCCAAAGCGGTGAGGGAGAGTTCCCTGGCACAGGTCAGGCAGCTCCAGAAAACCCTCTTACAGGTCTTTGTATCTCTTCTGAACCCCAAGGAAAAGGGCTCGGACTGGTTTGCAGAAGGTCAGGAAAATTACAGCCCCCACCTCCTCCTTTGAGCCCTCTTTGGAAAGATTAAACAAACACCAGCAACAGAGATGCTCAGTGACTTCAGCCATAAAGTAGGGAAGAAAGATTTTTAAGAAATGGGAAATATCCTCACATTTTTCTTCCTCTTAAATTATCACAGGTAGAATTACAAACCCATATGGTCATTTGGTTCATTTAAAGATCTTCTTCATTACTTAGACAATTATTCACCCAGAGAGTGCATTCAGCAGAGAGAGCAGCTGAGCAGCCAGCCCACCATCTTCTCGAGGCAAGCAAAAGCTGGACTCACAGTTCAGCGGACTCTCCATATAGTAAATTTT